AATGATATATATATATATATATATATATATACATGTCTCCTCAAAACTCCACTCCGATTAAAGAAAACCTTCAATGAAAGACTACTTTTCTGTGGTCCCAAATTAACAGATGTCTTTAGTGGGAGGGAGACTTTAGTAATAGCCTGCTAGTATAATGTGGCAAAGACAGGCCAAACCAGTCACTCGTCACAAAAATCGATTTTCAGTTATTAATACAGTGTTAGAGAGTAAAATAATAGCTATAAAATGGTAAAAAATCATTCAAATCGGACATTTCCTTATGAAGTTACAAGCGTTTAATCACACAGCTGTTTAAAGAACAATATATGAGAAATCACCCTTCAAAGTTTATGATTTCAGCCATTTCTCATGCAGAAACTATCTTTAAATCCTTAAAAAGTGTTGTTTTAACATTGAAAATGGGGAAAATAACAGTATAGAATGATGTATAGATATATAAAGTTTAGTTTAGTGCAATAAAATAGATTTTTAAAAATTTGTCATTCCACCATTTTCTCTGCGACGAGTGACTGGTTTGACTTGTCTTTGCCAAATATAGCATTTATTGCTTCTTTTTAATTCATACAAATAGTATGAATCCATAGTTTCATATTATTTCAAAACATGAACTTGCTACCTTTCTCTGTTCATTCAAACTAACATTGGAATAACCTTAATAATAAAATTGGCAACAAGGAAAAGGGAGAGTCTTATCATATAAATCTGTATTTTCATGGTCATATGTAAACCTTACCCAAAATGCTGTAGTACAGGAAGTATCATCTCCGCTAAGCCATCCATATCTGGATACACATATCTGCAAAGATAAATTTTAACAACATGGTTTGACTAATTAGATATTCGCAAATGTTGGTACAGTTGTGCCATATACATAGCGCATGTGGCAATCGACTGTCATAAATAGCACAGGTGGCAATTAGGTGTTGAATATTGCAGGTGTGTAATTAAGTACTACAGTATAAATATCACAGGTGTCAATGTTGTCATAAACAGTAAAGGTGGAAGATGAGTGTCATATATAGCACAGGTGTGTAAAGTAACATGCATGAATCATTAAAGAAGTTTAAAACTCAATCCAACAAGCGAGACTATAGAAAGACTAACTAATATAATTATTAATCTACTAAAAGGGAAAAATACATAATTGTTGTTCTCTCTTCTTCATTATACTGTGTCACCGTCATTGTCACCATCATCATCACAATCATCATCATCACAATCATCATCATCATCATCCTTGTTCTTGTTACCATCTTCATCATCAAGTCCTTACCCTGTTGGTAGTGGTGATGCATCTTTATGTTGCCCAGGTGCATTTAAATGGTACACACAGAACCTTTTCAAAATTGGTTGCATATCAGGACAGTTGAAGAAACCTTGGAAGCATGTGACATCTAAAACACACAAATAATGAAATAACAAATTATAATCCACCTCAACTATTCCATTGAGGAAATATATTAATATATTTCCTCCATGACTAGTTAGAATGATAATTATTACAATATTAAATTATTTTAAATGCAATATAAAAAAAATAGGACAGATAAATGATACCTCTTTAATTTGAAGGAAAAATAAATATTTTTATTATACTGTAATACATCATGGCAGCAGTATATGGAAAAAATTAAAGAATATTTTTTTTTGTTGAAAATTTCCAATTCACAACAATGGGTGCGCTAACAGGCTAAAATTAACTTATGCACTTATTTGAAATAATCACTAATGGTGGGCGGCAGGTTCACCAAAGGAGGTATAACAAAAGTCTTGCCTAAAGAGAAACTTAAATGTGTTTTGCCTGAAGTATACAAGAAATGCGACTGGCATAGATCCACAACCATTTAGTTGGAAGATGCATCACAACCATGTCGGGCAGCTAGTGCAAAAATTAATAATATTCTTCGGTAGGTGATTGGTAACAATTAATGAAATATATTAATTTGATATAAAAATGTAAATATTCAATTTAACTCTGTTAATATATGTTCCAAATGAAAAAAAAAGTGTGTAGCACAAGTAGACAAGAAACGTGACTGTAATTGGGCCCGCGGCTATTTTGTTGGAAGCTAGCATCACACTTATCACGTCAGGTAGCAAGTTCACAAATAGAATGATATTCTTCGGTAGATGCTTAGTAATTATGATTAATGATAATTTCATACGAACATGTTGTTTAATTCAACTACTCCATATGTTCCAGACAAACATACGGTATGTTCTGCCTGTAGGAATACTAACATTGATGCTATTCATGGTTTTTCATTATTTGTTGGAATTGAACACAAAAAAAAAATAAAAAATCTGAACACATTTTTGAAAGGGCAAATTTATATTGAATCTGAGCCTGGAGAATTTTATAAAATTGTTGCATCTCAAATACTTCAAGTAAAATATTAAATTACCGGTATGTTCATGCCCAAGGCATTATATGACATTAGTTTCCAAAACAGTTTGTAATTCCACTGAATACTTTCAAGATATAAGCTAATCTTGTTAATCTTGAAGGAAATGATTTTGCAAGCTAATGCTTCGATGTTCAAGGTAGTTAAATAGAGTGTTTCCTGAGTTAAAATTACGGCAATCCAGGAAGATTGAAATGAAGAAAACACCAACCTACTGTTATTATTACATTTCCTGATAACTGTCATATTTTACATGCTACAATAATTAATAAGTTAGTTAGTTGATATTATCTTTTTACTTAAGAAATTAGTGGGTAAGTTAGTTTAAGTAACATATGTGGCAAAGACAAGCCAAACCAGTCACTCGTTGCAAAAATCGATTTTGAGTTATTGATACAGTGTTAGAGAGTAAAATAATAGCTATAAAATGGTAAAAAAAATCATTCAAATCGGACATTTCCTTATGAAGTTACAAGCGTTTAACAACACAGCTGTTTAAAGAACAATATATGAGAAATTAACCGTCAAAGTTTATGATTTCAGGCATTTCTCATGCAGAAACTGTCTTTAAATCCTTAAAAGGTATTGTTTTAACATTGAAAATGGGGAAAATAACAGCATAGAATGATGTGTAGATATATAAAGGTTAGTTTAGTGCAATAAAATAGATTTTCAAAAATTTGACATTCCAGCATGTTTTAGCCATTTTCTCTGAAACATGATTTGCGACGAGTGACTGGTTTGGCTTGTCACAGCCACATATTAATTATTATTACTTCATTGTTTATTGACATATATATTTTCATTCTTATAATTTTAATTTAATTAAACTTAAATTTATACTTTACTGTATACGTTTTGCTTACGTCCCTCTCTATTTCTTAAAAAGTCCCTTAGGGCTTCATGAGGGTTTGTTTTTGGCTCCTGCTTCAATTTGAGTCTGTTAATTTTATTTATATGGCTTTTGACAATACAATTTTTTTGTATATTTGTATTTAGTGTTGGAAAATAATTAAAACACTAATTTATATTTTAAATGTATTTATTAATACTTTTTTATATTTTTAAGTGATACAGAAACATTACAATTTATTGATCCAATAACATTTAATGGTAATTATTTTAAAATTGTTGTCTCTAATTGACTTTCACATTCTTTTTATAATTATATTTTTATGTAAGCATGTTTGACCCTTGAGTTATGATGGCACAATCCAAATTATCCTCAGAAGTAATGCAATATATCTCAGTCTTCCAGGCTTGGTTATGTTGTCATTTCTAAATATCATTATTATTATGAGTATTCTTTTTTTTGTCTTTTGTGGGTGTAGGCCACCTTTATTATCTTTTTTCATTTTTTTCATTTTTCAAATAACTCTTGTTCAAGGTACAATAAACATTATGTTCAGAATTTACATAAAGGAAAACAAAAAATAAATAAAAGCTTCACATGTCTACCATAAAGTACACTATCACATGAAATTTCTCTAAACAATTATTATTTTAATGCATATTTACTTATTAGTACTTGATTTTTTCCTCTAATTTAAACAATCATAACTTCGCTTGATGTAATTGATGATGGTTTCTATCATAAATTGTAATGTCAGTGAATACATGTAGGCTACATCCATATAAAGCATTAAAATTCAGAAATATAAAACATTTTATGATTTGTTAATAATATACATTATAAGGTGAAATAAGAACATGTAATTATGTTTCTTAATAAAACACTTGATAAAATAAACTTCAAATTAATAAGCTTCTAATAAGTATTCTACTCAAATGAAACAACATTCTTTACACTAAATCCAAAAGACATTGTATCAATGAAATGAAAATACCAAGTCATTTTCCCCCTTTACAGCAGCTATTAATCTAACTATTGTACTTTATAACGTTTGCTTTAGGGTCATAAATATTAAAATGGTTGCGTTTTCATTTCATTTATTTTTGACCTGAAAAATGCATACATAAATGGCCATGGGTTGCTTAAACAAATATTTTACTAAAACTCAGATGAGTTTCCACTAGTATAGTATCACAATCCAAATGACGACAGTGAAACATTTTAACAGTATGCAAAGGTCAGTATTTAAAAGAAATGTTTACAGTATTTCAATTTGATTTAAATTCACTGCAGCAAAAAATCTTCCCAATTCAATAATGAACTACAGGTATGTACTGGAGGTTTAATGCTTTATAATAAACAGGGGAAATATTTGTTGTTAGTTTTAAGCTTTTTTGTTTTCGATGCAGTAGTTTTATATTTATGTATTGTTTTTCTTTTACTCATTAATTTTGTTTTAAGTTTAATTTCATTTTTTCATTTTGTTTTCTCTTTCATTCTTTTTACTTGTGATCCACTTGTGTTACCAGTCCTACGTCACTGAAAGTGTTATCACAAAAAAGACAGAAATAAGTAAATAAATTTTGGAAGGAGAAGGGGAGAACCAAGGATTTCCTGTCCCCCTCTAAATTTCTGAAAATAAAAAAAAAAATAGAAAGAAAGGAAAATTGCAGCATTTAAATTTAAGTGACAGAATGCAAATTCCGCAATCTAGAGGTGCCATAACCATAAATATTCATGCCTCAGACCCAACCACAGTAGGATGACCATCCTCTTTTCAAAATTCCTACATCTGTCACTAATATTAAAACTACTGCAAGTGTCATGAGGCTTATAGAGGAGAGCTGACTATTTACAGGATTTGAAACCAGGACCTTGGGATTGCAAAGCAAGCATCTCAACCACCTTGCCATAACTCTGCTCCAATTGTGTTCCATGGATTATATATAACCAAACAGTCAATGCCAATGAAGAGGTAGAATCCATTATGTCATTAGCCACACTGCTATGGGATTAAAGTGTTGTACTTACGATTTAAGCCGATGTCATGGTAGGTTACAATGGCTGGCTTTTTCATATCACCTTGAACAGCAACGTGGACAGTGCCGTTCCCACAGTGAACATCTTCCTCCTATACAGTGGAAAGATAATGTATATTTAAAGTGAGAAGTAAATACAAAAAAATTTATAACAAGAAAGAGACACTTTCTGTATGGAGAGATGAGTGTCCTAATGTACACCTACCAATGGCGTCTGATGCTCAATACAAAAAAACCAAAATTGAATAATAATAAGTTATACTTATATAGCGCGACAATGCAAAGCTTCAATGCGCTTTACAACCACACACACTCTCACAAAAACGCTAAAGCAATGTAGTGGGAGATGAAGAGGGCAATGAAAGAAAGAGATGAGTTTTGAGTAAAGCCTTAATTGAAGTTCTCTCTGTGGAAGCTTGCTTGATGTTCAGGCAATTTATTCCAAAGAGTGGAAGAAGCGAAGGAAAACGAGCTTTGACTATAAGATAGTGTATTGACCTTTGGGATTGTGAGTAAGAACTGTGATGAGGAGCATAATTTCTGTGAAGGATTACGAATTGAAATAAGTTGCCTTGAATATAAGTTGGGACACCAGAGTGCAGTGCTCCAAATGTTGAGCAGGATTTTGAAGATGATTCTTTTATTGACTGGTAGCCAATGAATATATTGAATTACAGGTGTTATGTGACAATATGGTTTACTTTGGTTTACAGTACAGTATGATACGAGCAGTGATGTTCTGCTATGCTATGGCATTGTAATAAAAGTAATTTATATGGCCTGTATTAACATTTTAATGAAGAATTCACTTCATTTTTAAGAATTTTAAGGTATAATCGGCCTATACACTTTATCTTTTTATGAAATTTTTATGATTGAGATGACATAACGTAGGTGTGAGATGTAAAAATTGGATGCTCATGCGTGACTCTCACGCATTACGTGTGATAGTTGGCAGATGTACTAATGTAAAATTTTAAATTGCCATTTAAATCACCACTACCATTGCTCTCATAGCCACCACGATCAACATTAGTGACAACCAGTATTAACCTCAATATCCGCATACCGTACTCGCGCGAATAAGTGCCCGGGCACTTAAAATATTTTTTTTGAACTTTTTGAGGGGCGCTTATTCAAACGGGGCACTTATTCGAACGGGGCGCTTATAAAAACAGAGTGAAAATTGAGGGGGCGCTTA